CTGAGATGCTGAGATCCCTGAGATCACTGAGATCCCTGAGATGCTGAGATCCCTGAGATCCCTGAGATGCTGAGATCCTCACTCAGCTGCAATTCTTGTTCTGAACTCTCAGCTGAGGCTGCCTCCCACCCTGCCCACTCACTGGCTTCACACATCCCAAAATCAGGCCCAGGCTTTTTTCCTTCTTTCTTCCCCCCACCCTGGAAGATTTATTTTTGCTGTCTACCAGAATTCCAGTTCCCTGCTGGCTTTGTCCCTCCAGCTCCCATTCCTGCCCCGAGGAGCTCCTCATTCAGAAATCGCCACATCACAGGAGCAGCTCTGTGCTTTCTAATGGAGAGAGAATTTCTACAAAATCCTTCCCTGGCAGGGTGGGCAGGCTCTGGCACAGGAGCTGGGGCTGTCCCTGGATCCCTGGCCAGGCTGGATGGGGCTGGGAGCACCTGGGACAGTGGAAGGGGTAGAATAAGATGATTCTCCAGGTTCCTTCCAAGCCAAACCATTCAGAGTCAGGAATCCAGCCTATGCAGGGACTTCTGTTTGGTTGTAGGCAGAATAGAGAATGCAAACCAACAGAAGGAGATAGAAATCAACGGCCAGACTTGCCAGACTCCACCCCAGTGGTTTGTTTTGGCACACCCAGAGGGTCAGTGGTGCCCTGTGCTCCCTCCCAGAGCCACCTGCCCAGCACCACCCCCCCTTCTCCTCCTCCTCCTCCTCCTCCTCCTCCTCCTCCTCCTCCTTTTCTCCATTCTGTATTCGTGGTTAGAGATGGGGTGGGAGCCAGTGAGGTCAGGGTGTCCCCAGGGTGCTGGGGACGAGGCTGAGGTCCCCACGCTGTCGGAGTGAGCCGTGTCCCCTCGTGTCCCTCTGAGGTCCCCCAGGGGTGCCGTGCTCGGTGCCCTGTTGTGGTCAGGGCCAGCAGGTACTGACTGCACTGTCCTTTCTGTTGACATGCTGCGTGTGTCACACGTAGGACACAGAGGAAGGCAGCTGGGCACAGGTGAGGTCCCCGGGCCACCCTTGTCCGGGGGGGTGCATGGGGCGGTCGCGGGAGGAGCTGGAAATGTTTGGGGCAGTGATATTCACTGAGGCCTTGGGGGCTTTACCTGCACCCCATGGCTGCTCCTCTGGGCCATCTCTCGGGTACAGGATGTCCTCCTGAGCCCTTTCTGCTCCAGGCAGTGGCTTTTCCTGGGACCTCTGTGAGATCCAGAGCCTGTGTTAAGAACCCCCACCTGTGTGACCACCCTGCATGCGGGCAGGATTCCAGCTGCACGTTTACTTTTTCACCTGTTTTGTAGCCCTGAGTCCATAGAGATGATTTTTATGAACCAAAAAGGTGGGAGGAAAGAGTCCTGCTTGGATCCATCTCTTCTGGTTTTATCCCTCTTAAATGCTTTACTTTCCTTCTGGTGGATTTTAATTCATTTTCAGACCCAAAATCAGTTTGCAGTGGAAGTGAAAGGGTGGGGTCTTTTCCCAAAACCGACCTTTTTGTTTGTTTTGAAGTCATAAAATAGAGATTATTGAAGTAGAGATTCTTAAAAATGAGTTGGGAATGCACTGGAACTTGTTTCTCAGTTGTTTCCTCTTTCAATGAATGTGATTTTTCTGGAGGCAGCTGCTCATAAAGTCCAGTTGTTCCTTGCCAATACTTTTGGCCACTGCTTTGTTTCCTGGGGGGGCATGAGCAGGACACAGATCATGGCCAGCAGGACTGTTCCCCCCAGCTCCTTTAGTACCACCCAGGCCTGGAGCCTCAGGACAGTGACCCTCTTGGGCTGTCACTGATCTCCTGGGGTTCTGCAGCTCCACCAAGCCCTGGGTTCTCGCCAGCTTCTCCATGTGCCTCTCTGCAGACCCTGGCCTATGGGGACATGAACCACGAGTGGATTGGGAATGAGTGGCTGCCCAGCCTGGGTCTGCCCCAGTACCGCAGCTACTTCATGGAATGCCTGGTGGACGCGCGGATGCTGGACCACCTGACCAAGAAGGACCTGCGGGTGCACCTGAAGATGGTGGACAGCTTCCACCGGTGAGTCCTGGCGCCTGCAGCTTCCTAGTGTGCACATGGAGCAGAGGGTGGGGGATTTGAGGGATTCTCCCCTGTCTTGGGCAGTCCTGGATGGCTCTTCCAGGCTGGACTCACCACCCTCAGCTGGGGCAGCTCTTACAGGCAGAAGTTCTCTTTCACCTCACTCCCTGCTGCAGAATGACAGAGGACCAGGCCTTCCCCTGGCTGTGGAGCAAACTGTGGGCAAAACTTCAGGCTCTTCCTACTTGGTGCTCCACTGCTGCCTGCCAGCAGCCCAGTGGAGAAGGCTGTTCCAATCCCAGCCATGGCATCCCCTGCCATGGGGTCCCACCCTGACCCATGGACCTGTCAGCCTGGAGCAACCTCCATGGGCTGGTTCCCCTGCCCCTCTCCAGCTACCAAGGGTGAGGATCATTTGGATCTGTGCACTCTCAGGCAGCTGGAACAGGCTCAAACTGATGGGGTGGGAATTGACATGGAAGGGAGAGGACGTTCCCCATTTTCCAGCTTTGGGTTGTGTCTGTCCTGACCCATCCCTGACCTTGGGTGTGTGGGGAGCATGCAGAGAGGGTCCCCCCAGCCAGGTGTCCTGGAGGGCTGGGAGGGACCTCTGGTGTCCCCTGTGTTGTTGCAGCACCAGCCTCCAGTACGGCATCATGTGCCTCAAGAGGCTCAACTACGACCGCAAAGAGCTCGAGAGGAGGCGAGAGGAGACCCAGCATGAAATCAAAGGTCAGCACCCCCTGTCCCGCTCCAGAGCAGGACAAGATACCCAGGGCTGGTCTCTCTTCCATCTCTTATTTTTAACCCATTATTTGAGCCCACAGGGCTGTTCTCCTGAGGGACCTCCCTGCTGCTCCCAGTGTTTTATCAGTTGACCCCAGGCAGGCATGAGGAGGGAGCAGGGGAGAGCAAAGATGCAGCCTGAGCATCCCGTGATCTTCTCTGCCCATTTCACTACTCAGGACATCCCCAGCTTGCTCAGCCTCCCCTTCCTTGTCAGTGTCCTGAGATTCCCTGTGCATCTGGCTGCTGCTTGGATTACATCTCATTATTGATAATGCCCCTAATTACATCAGCAGCCGTGGGTTCTTAAGATTACTTTTCACAGTTGTTTTCTGCCTGTTATTTCAGCTTTGAGCTTGGTAAATTGAACTGAGCTGTTCATGGCACTCGAGCTCCTGGTTTTACTGCTGGCTTGGGAAGGAGAGTCCCAGGATCATCCTGGGGCAAAGGGAAAGGGCCTCAGGACATCCCCAGAGCTCCTCAGAGCCACGAGTGTGGTGAGAGGTGGCCCTGAGCCATGTCCTTGCTGTCGTGCAGATGTGTTGGTGTGGACCAATGACCAGGTCATTCACTGGATCCAGTCCATCGGGCTGCGTGAGTACGGGAACAACCTGGTGGAGAGCGGAGTGCACGGGGCCCTGCTGGCCCTCGATGAGAACTTCGACCACAACAGCCTGGCCCTCGTGCTGCAGATCCCCACCCAGAACACCCAGGTAGGAGCAGGGTCCTTGGGGGATTTTGGAGGAGAGTGGCCATTGTGGGACACGGCTGTGGTGTGACGGCACCAGTGTCACCAGCTCAGCTCTCCCTTTCAAAGCAGAGCTCTCCTATGGCACAGGGGGGCTCTTTCTGTCACACTCAGGCTTTCCTAGGATGGAAGTTTGGCCTGGAAGCACATTCCCCATTGATGAGGCATAATAATCTTTTTGTTAATTGCAGGCTCGACAAGTGCTAGAGAGGGAGTTCAACAACCTGCTCGCCCTGGGCACGGACCGGAGGCTGGATGATGTGAGTGCCAGACCTCTCCATATCCTGGGACACTGGGGAAGGACCTGGGGGTGTTGGAGGATGAGAAGCTCAGTGTGCCCCGGCCATGTGCTCTGGCAGCCCAGAACCCCACACTGTGTGCTGGGCTGGTCCCCCAGCATGGGCAGCAGGGCAGGGGGGATTCTGCCCCTGTGCCCCACTCAGGTGAGACCCCACCTGCAGAGCTGCCTCCAGCCCTGGGCTTCTAGCACAGGAAGGACGTGGAGCTGCTGGAGCGAGTCCAGGGGAGGTGCTCTGGGGCTGGAGCTCCTCTGCCATGAGCCCAGCATCCCTTGGAGTCTTTGCTGGGAATTCTGTGTTGATATCTCCAAGGCATCAATGTTTGCAGGCAGGCTGTAGAGAGGAGACATGAGCTGGAAAGGATCCAATGCCATGGGATCCCAGCAGGATGTCCTGTGTCCATGGCCTAGTTTGATCCCCCACCTTGCTGGAGCTGGTCACCAAGGACAGGTGTTAGCTGTCTCCAGGGGCAGGAGGGGCTGGCACTGACCCCGCTGTTCCCAGCAGGGCGATGACAAAACCTTCCGTCGGACGCCGTCCTGGCGCAAGCGCTTCCGCCCGCGGGACGTGCACAGCATCAACCTCCTGAGCGGCTCTGCTGAGACCCTCCCCGCCGGCTTCCGTGTCACCAGCCTCGTGCCACTGCCCCCTCCAGCCGCTCCAGCCAAGAAAATGCCCCCGGAAGGTGGGTCAGCCTTCCACAGGGTCCCCTCCCACCCCTGATCAGTCTTAGGGAACGGGGGGAAGGATGGATGTGCCACCAGGAGAGGAAAGGGATAGGAGGGGACAGGGAGGAGGAGGAGGAGGAGAAGGAGAAGGAGAAGGAGAAGGAGAAGGAAAAGGAAAAGGAAAAGGAAAAGGAAAAGGAAAAGGAAAAGGAAAAGGAAAAGGAAAAGGAAAAGGAAAAGGAAAAGGAAAAGGAAAAGGAAAAGGAAAAGGAAAAGGAAAAGGA